GGGTTTGATTACAGAAACTAATAAAGTATTCTCTAAATAATGAAAAAAGAATAAGATAAGACTATAAGAGCGAGAAGCAATTTAAATATGTTCAGGGACCATTTTCATCTCCAGAATTAAGGATTATTTTAATCTTACATCATTGCCTTTTCTCTTTTACTTTCCTTTTTAGTTTTATTTTAGGATTCCTTATTTTTAATGTTCATACAGAGATTTCTTTAACTGAAATACCGAATAGTTTCTTTGGTGTGAAAAACTATAATAGTACACAGGATCCTAATGAGACAATTAATAATGTGAAATAGGAAGTAAAGGGCTAAAGGTGTAAGGAAAGTGGGAAGGGTGGGGGAAAGGTAATAAGGGAGAGGAAAAAAAATATGAGAAACTGAAAAAATGGAAATAAAGTGTTTGTAAATGGGGAGGGGAGGAGGGGGTGAAGGGAGGGCAGGGACAAGGGGAAAAATGAGAATCAAGACCTATTATGTAAACGTACAGTATCCCAATGATGATTGTAAGTGTATTTGTATACCTAGATTGTACCAATAACCTCAATAAAAAGAAAAAAAAATTATTTACACGACAAACAATTCACCATGATATTTTCACTTTCATAAACTTTCACCCTATGTGAGGTGGTGCGTGCCTCTAATCCCAGAACTTGGGAGGCTGAGGCAGGAGGATCACCTCAAGTTTGAGGCCAGCCTGGACTACATAGTGAGTTCAAGGACATCCTGAACTGAACTACATATAGAGACCCTGTCTCAAAAAAAAAAAAATTTCACCCTACACAGAAAATCTTCCTAGAATTTTCCTTGATGTGCACAGGTGATGAATCCCCTGCAGTCATTCTGGGCTCTGATTTTACACTTCACTATAGAAGCAAGAGCATCATGCTGCATGCAAGCAAAGCAGCAGAGTGAGACTTTGGTGGCAAACACTCATCCTTGGGAGAGGGGTGTTCAGAGATTCAGAGAGCAGGGTCCAGCTAGGCCTAGAGTCGGAAGACATCAGCTCCAACCAAAGGCATCCCACATGACCTGGGTGTGCCCGAGTGAATCTCTTAACATCTGACTCTCAGCTTTCACTTCTGGAAGCTGGAAGAGTCAGGGATCTATGACAAATGAGTAGGACAGGAACTAAGACAATAACGATAAACTGAAGAACCAGCTAGGAACCCCAGGCTCCACCACTAGGAAACTGACCATAAAATCCTCTGAGCCTGTTTCCTCATCTATTAAACAAACACACACACTTTAAAATGCTAAATAAAGCACACCAACTGGCTCTTGTTAAAAGGCAGTCTTTCTTTCCTTCTTCTCTCTCTCTCTCTCTCTCTCTCTCTCTCTCTCTCTCTCTGCCCACCCCTCTTCTTCCATGTGTGTTACCAGGGATTAAATTCGAGGCCCTTGCTAAGTCACTAAATTACCCAGGTTGGGCTCACCCTTAGGATCCTCCTGTCTCAGCCTCCCTGGGTGCTGTGATTACAGATGTGTGTCACCACACCCAGCTCAAAAGGCAGCTATTAGTAAACCCTTAAATGCTCACAATCCTAAGTCTAGTACACCCAAAGGTGCTTCCACATTCACTGCTAATCTAAAAGGAGCAGAAATGACAGCGTTTACCCTTGAGGCCCACCACCACCCACCAGGACTGCTCCAAGAGGGCAAGTGCTTATGGCACACAAGACTCTGAATCCAGTCCCTAGAACATGCACAAGAAAGTCATAAACATGAAGTGCGTTCAAAACTTCTCCAAAACTATTTTAGACACTACCTCTCGCTCTCCTATGCAGGTCACACTGCCTTTTTCTCTTTACCACGTCAATCAAGGCCTTCTTTTGAAATAAGCAAAGGCTGAAGAATGAGAGGACACTTCCCAATGTCTTTCTCCGCATAAAAAAAGCTTACTTTGAATTATTTTTCAGTTGTTTTCTTAAATATGAGACTATCACAATTATGTGTTTTAGGTGCTCTGACCTCCAAAACTGAACCTTTTAACAATCGATGGCCGTCATTCCTCCACACCAAGAAAAAGACACTCAAAAGGACACAGCAAGCTCGGGCCATCAAATGACTATAAAGCCACTCCATATCTGCTGTTGTGGTTTGGGTCTAGATGTCCCCCCAGAGCTTCATGTGGTCACAGGCTTGATCTAGAGTGTGAGAAACTGGAATAAAATCTCTCATTTTATTCATGCTGCAATGCTAGGCTCAAGGGCGCTAGGATTAAGGGTGTGAGTGCTACCTGCCCTAAGTAGTCTGAATAAGAGAAAAGGGGCAGGGAGATGCTGTTAAGGTTCTAGTTACCTTTGCTGCCTTGTGTGTTTCTGCTCTGCCATGACTGTTTGTCATCCCTGTTTGGAGTTGGCTGATTAAGGACTGAAACCTCTGCAAACTGTAAGCCAAATAAACCCCTTCCCTTTTAACTTTGGGTGTCAGGTATTTTGTCTTAGCAACCAGAGAAAGGTAACTAAGACATCTGCTTCCAACTAACACCATCCTCCCACAGAAAAGATATGAACTTACCTCTATGAGAACCTAAACATCAGAAATATGTAGATAAATTGATACTGGTCCTACTGCTAGATGCAGAAAACAACACCTTGAGGTTAAATCACAGTAGTCTTTTTAGGGCTGTAGAGTGAATCTCTGGCACGTGTGTTAGTTGTTTGTCTCTTAAGACAAAAGATGTTAATGTGAGTCATTTGTTCTAAACTAAAACCTCAGTTCTCAGGTGTAATTGCAGTGTTGGCACTTTGCAATAAATAAATAGGCTTTGGGTTGCATTTTGGGCATTCATCTCTAACAGCATCACCACCACTGCTCTAGAGAAACAAGGATCAGGACCCAGGCTTTGCAGCTCTGAATCCAGTGCCAGCTATAGCTCCACATGCTATCAAGACCTCTGTACAAAGCTCATCTGCTATCACAGAAAAATATAGTAAATTATAATCACAATAAGCATGAAGCATAAAAAGCAGTCTAAAATACTATTTAAGGCCAAGAGTCACTGAGTGTAGTGAAACATGCCGGTAATCCCAACTGCTCAGAAAGCTGAAGTAGCAGGATTACAAGTTTCAGGCCAGCCCAGGCAACTTAGAAACACCCTGTCTCAAAATTAAAACTAAAAAGAGCTGGGGGCATAGCTCAGTGTACAATACCCCCGAGTTCAATCTCAGGATCAGAAAATGTGTGTGTGTGTGTGTGTGTGTGTGTGTGTGTGTGTGTCTGTGTCTAAGGATATGCAGCTCAGAATGCTTGCCTAATATGTGCAAGGCCCTAAGTTAGATCCCCAGCACTGGTGTGGGGGGGCTATTTCAACTACATAAAAAGTATACAGCTACCCTTGTTATCCACGGAGGACTGGTTCTAGGATTCCCATAGCAAAACCTGTAGATGCTCAAGTCCTTTATATAAAAATTAGTGCAGAATTTGCACATAACCTATGGCACATCCTCCCATATAGTTTAAGTCCTCTCTAGATTACTCATAATACTGAAATATAATGTAAATGATGGTTACACTTTTTGTTGGGAAAGACCTCCCAAAAAGTCTGTACATGTTCAGTACACATGCAATTTTTCTTGGAGAATGTGTTTGATCTGTGGTTGCTTGAAACCCTAGATGCAGAGCAGAGAATTCTAACCCCCTTCCCCCTCCATCTCCCCCTCCCCCACCTCCTCCCCCTCTCTCCAAAACACTTGCTGTTTTCTCTGTATGGTAGAATTACAAGCAATTTATTTTCTTCTTTTCTGTGTTTTCTATTTTTTTACAACTAGTACATAATAGTGTTATAGTCAAGGAGATACAGTACTTAAAGTATTAAAGCTTGTAGCAATGAAGCTGCAATTAAGATAATTTCTTAAAGACTATTTTACCCGCTATGGATACTGAACAAAATAAAAGCCTACACACTGTATAGCAACACTAGCAACTGTCATCCTAGACTACAGAAGGGTCATGGGAAATCTGTAACCATAGCAACATCTTCAACTATAATCAAATCTACTCACCAATGTCATATTGATCTAAAAGGGTATTTTCTCTTCTTTGAACAACTTAATGACATTTCATCCACTTCCCAAAGTAAGAACACTGAAAAGTAACAGCTGAAAAAGCTGTGCAACTGTCCTACATGGTTCCCTATGTCCACAGGAATACAGGTCTACGAACAAACCAGGCTGTGCTGCGCAACACAAAATTGCAATCCTTAAGGAACTTTCCCCATTTCTTCCGCACGGTATTCACTGCGCTCCTCCCCTGGGGAAAGGCGTCTTTCCCACGCCCGTCACACAGCCGTCCCTACTCACGCACACACCACCACCACCCTTAGCTCGGACTCACAGCTTTCACGCACCTCTCGGACGTCAAAGCTCCTCTTCAGGTTAGCACCAACTATTCCGTACAGTTCATCAGCGGGGAACAAAGGCTCTTCAGAAGGCTCCACGGTAACCTACAGAAATGGAGAACAACTGTGCAAACCTGTTGAAGTCACGATTCTGGCGGCATATGCCATAATGCCTTTGGGAAGAGACCGAAGAACATATCCTACTCACATCCAATTTCTTCTGGTAATTCAGACCCCGTACAATCTTTCTTGCTAAGTGGAGGGCATGATGGTCATCCAAAGCATAGTGGTCAGTGACCCCGGACTTCCTACAGCGTAAAGCACAGTGGAACAATCAGCACAGGGAAAAGGAAGGAAATTAAACATCTTAAACCCAAAATCCTTTTCTTACTAAGGAGCAGAGGGAACTCAGTGAGCACTATTTCCAAGATACTTCAATAAACCTCGTTTTATTTGATCCTCCTAATGTACCTGGCAAAAGAGATCTATCCTTGTTTTACCAAGGGGAAAAATCTAGGACCGGCAGCAGCTGCTTCAGAGCCCATGCCTTCTAGTCTTCAACCTTGGCCCTTTTCTGCTGGGCTGCAGGGCCTTGCTGACAGGCTTCCTAGTAAGTGTGCATCTGAGCCAGATGTGGTGGTGCCTGCCTGTAATCTCATCACTCTTGGAGGCTGAGGCAGGAGGACTGCAAGTTCAAACTCAATCTGGGAAACTTAGCAACTTCCCAAGATACTGTCTTAAAATAAAAAATAAAAGAGGCAGGGAATGTGGCTCAGTGCAAAGGCCCTGTGTTCACCCCACTGACCTTGAACAGGACTGTGTCCATGTGCCGTCCAACAACAGACAACACACACTCACATTACTGTTAACACCAAGTATTTGTTCCTAACCAAGTTTCTAAACATGTAAACTACTCTCCTTTCTTCTTTTTTTTTCATTGAGTTTATTGGTACATTTTAGGTATACAGTACAGTTACATTCATCATTGGGATCTTGTACCTTTATATGATGTATCCTGGTTATTTTTTTCCCCATTCCCCTGCCCTCCCTTCACCTCCTCCATCCTATTTACAAAGACTTTGTTTCTATTTTTTCCTTTTCTCATATTTTTTCCTTTCCCTTTTCTTTCCCCTACCCCTTCTTCTTCCCCTTCCCCATTTAGACCCTTTCTTCCTGTTTCACATTATCAACTATATATATTGATCCTTATTTACAGTTTCAGTTTCTCGTATCAGAAAAACTATTCGGTTTGTTATGTGTGCTCTATTTATTTCACTTAAGAGTGTGGCCTCAATGTGCATCCATTTAGTTATGTCTCTAGTTTTTGAGAGAATGGTGAGCTCTCTCCTCACCAAGTCACACCCAAGAGTGGCCATCACAGGTAACAAGCAGAAAGGTTTGAATACATCATCCCCAGGGTAATATGGAAACTGTAAGTGATCAAGTGGTTCCGTGAGGAGGGCCTGGAACTTCCATTCAGTTTCTAGTGCAGTGGCTGAGGCACAGGCCACTCTGGTGATGATTCTGTTCGATCAGATGCTTTGCTGTCTCACATGCAGATGTACAATGACTTTCTAATAGAGTATTTTTTAAAATCTATAAAGTATCCGGGAGTGGTGGCTCACATCTGTAATCCCAGTGCTCAGGAGGCTGAGGCAAGAGGATCTCCAGGAATTCAAGGCCAGCCTGGGCTAACTAGTGAGTTCAAAACCAGCCTGAACTGTCTCAAAACAAATATATATAAAGTCAGGCAAAAACTCTGGTTAAAAATATGAAAATTTTCATTCATTGTAAGAGTAAGGAATTAGGTGCTGTTCTCCAGGTTTTGAGGCTTCATCTATGGAAACTGCCCAACCCTTAGGAGAGGCTTCTCAGAGTAAGACTGTCTCGGGGATCGTGTCCCTTCTCACCTCTGGTCCAGGTGCTCCCAACAGCACAGACCCTGTTACTCTTCAGAGCCCTATAATGCCTCGTAAATGGCAGACCCTTGGCTTCTCTAATTGAATACATTTCATAACTGGCTGGTTTTTTTCCAGTTCAGGTTATGGAACCCAGAGCCTCATACTAGGCAAGAGTACTACCACTGAGCCACATCACCAGCCCTTTTGCTTATTGGTTTGTTTGTGTTTGAGACAAGGTCTTACGAGGCTGCCCAGGTTGGCATGCACTGTGATCTTCCTGCTTCCCCAATGGCTGGGATTAGAGGTGTGTCTCACGACACCTGGCCACGCACCCATTGTTTCAAATGCTCCACATGGTAAGAGCCGTTATAAGCGCTGACTTCTCACTACACTACAATTCAGTAAGAAACAGAAGCAGAAGGTAAATACTTAAAATACAGTGCTTTCTTACAAAAACTGTCTTATATTTACCAAAACAGCAGGAAAAGGAATTCTTTCATGAGACATACGTAAGCCTTTATATCACTTTAGCTTTTCAGAGTGACTAATCACAGAAGTATAAACATGAATGTAAGCAACCTGTGAGTAGTAAATTTTACAGCATTATTCTCTTTAAAAAACCATCACCTTGGAACAGATCTTTTAAACATACTTTCAGCTCTATGATTGACTCATAATTAAATTGGGTAGAAAACTAACTTCATACCAACATGATTACTCTCAAAGCACTTTATGTACGCAAAAGAGAGGAGGACTGTAAAATTTCAGGGTATCAGCAGGATGCAAGGTAGCAGTGGAAAACTGACCAGATACAGTAACTAGAAATAATTCCATCAAAAATAAAAACTAGCATTACTCATTCTGTAATGAATTATACAATAAAATTTCAGGTACATCTACAAAAATGTTTTCTTCTAGTGCTCTATGTTTCCAAGCACGCAATAAAACAGCTAAGCTATGGTATCAGAAATTATACTACAGATCAAAATCTTCCACTAATATTTATGCCAGAGTTTTTGGAAGAGGAGGTAATAATAAATAAGTGTTACATAAACATAAAACTTTCACAGAGATGATATTTCTCAGAGTGGCAACACAACCTCCAGGCTGCCTGTAAGAGGAATTACAGCTGCTTGCCTCTAAGCTGCACTGCCACACAGCAACCAGGAACTCGAGGACTTCAATGGGTTATTTTAAAAATTCGAGTACTGACCAGTTGCTAGGAAAACAAAGTTGTATACCATGTCTCTAACAAGGTTAAGACCTCAAAGACCTAAAGCCATCGGCAATGTATCAAGAATAACCCACAGGTGCTTTAAAAACTGTTTTGTCCCTATAGCTGTAAGATCCCACCACCTCCCCAAAATAGTTTAAGAAAATGTTAAATGACATGATTATAAATTTGAAAACCTCAACAAGATTAAATTTCCTTTATATTTCTATAATTTTATAAAGCTGGGTAAAGTGCACCTCATGTTCCACATTATTCTCTTATTATATACATAATATAGTCAGTATCACTGAAAAAAACTGAAATTTGATTAATACGTAAGGATCTTAATTTACTCAGCATAGACCTCCTAATATTCCTAAGAGTTTTAGTGGGAAAAGCACAAAGTGTGCTTTTTAAGAAGATTTCATGTATTTAAAATTATGTATGTTTCTTTTACATGAAATAAATAAGTCACACATGTGTAAATACCAAATAGTTTCTCTGGTGTGAAAAACTAAAAGTGTAAATAAGCTCCAAAATGGTATAATTGACAATGTGAAACAGGAAGAAAAGGGCTAAAGGTGTAGGGGAGGTGGGAAGGGTAGGTAGGGGAAAGGAAATAAGGGAAAAGAAAAAATATGAGAAAAGGAAAAAATGGAAAAAACGTTTTTGTTAATAGGGAAGGGAGGAGGGGGTGAAGTGAGGACAGGGGTATGGGGAAAAAATGAGAACCAAGACCTGTCATGTAAAGGCAGAAGATCCCAATGATGCATGTAACTGTACTGTATACCTAAAAAGTACCAATAAACTCAATGAGAGAAAAAAAAAAAAAGTCACCACCTAATCATTTCCCATGATTTTTAACAGGTTAGTTGAACAATAACAACACTTGTATATGGTGTTTAGTATGTAATAGGAACTCTGTTCTAACACATGAGCAAATCATCTGCTTCAGAGGCCTAAACCTGAGGACAGGCTAAGTCACAGGGGCAGTAAGTGAGGCATGCAGAAAACAAATTCTGGAGTCCACATCCCTAACTTGTATGCCTACAGCTTTACTTTTTTTAACAAGCCTAAATTTTTGTGGCGGGGTTTTGTTTTCTGGTTATTTTTTGAGGCAGGGTCTCCCTTTGTAATTCAGGCCAGCTTTGAACTCACTGATTAGCTCAGGCTGGCCTCGAACTCCTGGCGATCCTCCTGTCTAAGCCTCCTGAGTGCTGGGATTACAGGTGTTCACCATCACACCCAGCAAGTCTAAATTTTTGAAAAATCAATACTCCTCAAGTGCTGTCTTCCTCTCCTTCCCCGATCTGCACCCACAAACAGGACCAGTCCACTCTGCCCTGTCCCTCCCCTCGCCCTGCTCTACCTGCAGCCCATTCTCTCCAGACACACACCCAGCCTGGCCTCTAGTCAGTCTCCTGAGGTTAGTGCTCAGATACAAGGCGACACATATCGGTGCTCACCACACCGTGGCAGGAGAGGATGCTCTAGCTTGGTGCTGCGACTCCACAGACCAAAGACTTGAACCCAGAATAGCAAAAAGCAAACAAATACTATGGTTTGTAAACAAACAAAATGGCGATCCTAAAAAGAAACGACCCTCGCTGTTTCACCTGCAGTGCAGATCAGCACCTCCAAGCTCCTCAGCAGATACCTCCTCACCGGTGGCTGCTTTAACCTACAGGGACAAGAAGTACTGGTGAGTCGGTTGGTCCTAGAGACATAAATGCTTCCCAAGGAGCGCGTCTCCTCCCAACCCCAGCGCACTGATGTTGGCCACAGAACATTAAAGCTGGTAGCTGGTAAACACAGAAACTATCCTCTCCAGTCTACAGATGAGAGATCTGAACCCAGATCCCCAAGAACACGCCTGCGGCCCCGGCCTGGAGCCTGACTGCTCGCTCCCATGCACACGCGCTACCTGTGAGAAGCTGCAGCGCCTGCGTCTGTGCGCCCCGCCCACCTCAGCTCCGCAAGCTGGCCGAGTCCCCTAGGCCCGGGTCCGGGTTAATGCTGGCCTAGGGATCCGCAGCACTGCTCTTACGCTGCCAACGCCAGCGTGTCACCTGCCAGACTGTACTTCAGCACTCTGGCATCAGCTCCGTGCTGTGGGGTCCTTGGGGGAAGGAACTGACCCATCCACCTTGAACACTCAATAGTTAGGTTGAAAACTTCCAGTTACCACCACCAACTTTATGTTACACCTTTAAGGTGGGGGGAAAAAATCTCCAAAATTGCCTAAATCTGAGAACCAGCAGAATGTAATCAAGAAGAAACCCCAAGTGATAAATCAAGAATGACTTAATTATAGCCTTAGAAATTGCAATAAGACAAAGAAAGAAAAATCATTTAACACTAAATGTCAAGCTGATTCCTTAAGAATTGTTTATTGATTCCTATTTCTTTGGGTTGGTTAATTTGTTTTTTATTCACACAGGAAAAGTTTTTATTAGAATAATGAACATCAACCTAAAATGCAGCACAGAAATGACTTATTCACTACATCAAAAGCTCTGTCTTAAAATATCTTTCCGCAGGGAGAGGTAATTAAAACTTTCACCTCCAATCATTCCACCCCCAGAAATCAATTACTGATTCTCTTCTTTCCAAAAATTTACATGTAAAACAACATTCAGTCCAGACAATAACTAATTATGAGGTGTCTTGATATTTAAAGTTGTAAAAAGGAATAAACAACAGACATACTATATTTTCAGGGATCTGACTAATATTAACAGAAAAAAAATAAGGATCTGTCATCAGTTAATATCTATTCAACACCCACATCATGATACTGTGATCATCAGTGCAAAGATGATAATAGTCAGAGAAAAATTAAAACAACTCACTCTGCCAAATAACAATCTGGGGAGACAGATGGGACAGGAGCTCCCAAACTGATCTTATTACTCCGTGTTTTTCAATCACTCTAAGCTCTAAAACATCAGCCTTTCCTCAACTTACAGGGAAATGAATGTCAGAGTTTAGAATTCTCAAGGATTTTGGTTGGGGGGGTGGAGTATTGGGGATAGAACTCAGTACCTTGCACTTGCAAGGCAGGCAGCGGCACCACTGGGCTAAATCCCCGGCCCTCAGAGTTTAGAGTTCTCAAGAGGATGAGAAGCTGCTTGTTTTCTTCCTTAGCCATGGTCTTTCAGAATCGACCACCGACGAGGCTCATTCCCCTATGACTTGCAGGCTGCCTGGGGGCCCGGGAGCCTCCAACATGGGAATTAAACCTGAATCCAAAGCACAATGGCCCTGGCCCAAACCTTCCCTCTACAACACTTAGCATTAGTCCAGCACTTCGATGCTGCCTGACTTCCTAACAGATGTTGGCAAATTTTAGTCATATCTTTATTCATTTTCTGATGAAAAATAAACACAAACTACTAAAAATGTTTGTAACCTTTACTACGTACAGGTAAATTTTGAGTGTATTTCCCCCTCATTAACCAATGACAGCTATCACATACAGCAAAGGAAATCTTAACAGATATGAACACTGCAGGCCTGACTTTATCACATCTAAAATCGCTCCTTAAGCTGGGGCTATAGCTCAGTGGCAGAGCACATGCCCAGTGTGTGTGAGCCCCTGGGTTCAATCACCAAAACAAATAAAATCGCCTCTCTTAGCCAGATACCACAGCACACACCTGCACTCCCACCCCTTTGGGAGACTGACACAGGTAGATTTCAAGTTCAAGTCCCACCTGGCAACTTAACAAGACCCTGCCTCAAAATTTTGAAAAATGCCTGGTATGGTGGCACATGCCTATTATCCTAGCATTAGGAGGCTGAAGAAGGAGGATTGCTGTGAGTTCTGGCCAGCCTGGACTACACAGCTAGACCCTGTCTCAAAAAAAAAAAAAAAAATAGGAGGGATCTGGGGATATAGCTCAGCAGAAGAGCCATTTGGGTTTGATTCCTAGTACCACCCCAAAAAAACAAAAACAGAAATAAAATTACTCCTCTTCAGCCTTACCTTATCTTCAATAAGAATTATTAAAATTAACAGAACTACTTAAGAAATTTGTTTTATATCAAAGCATGAACTCTTTTTTTTTTTTTTTTTTTTTTGGCACCGGGGATTGAACTCAGGTCCTTCTGCTTGCAAGGCAGGCCACCGAACCAGTGAGCTAAATCCCCAGCCCTCCTGAACTCTTTTTTAATCAGTCTGTATTAGTGTAGTATTCCAAAACCAAATTTGATTATTTGAAAGACTTTTTTTTTCATACCGGGTATCGAACTCTGGCCCTTGCACTTGCAAGGCAGGTGGCGGAACCACTGAGCCAAATCCCCGGCCCCTTTGAAAGATTTTTGGAGTGACAAACTTAGTTTTAGAAATATAATTTGCATACCATAAAATTCACCATTTCCAACACCACCATTCAGTGCCTTTTCACATAATTCACAAGGCTGTGCAACCACCAGCAGCAGCTCACTACAGGACACAGCACTCTGTTGGGTGACACCTCATACTTCCTGGTGGTCACTCCCCACCCCACACCTGCCCTGGCAACCACTGGCAATCTACTCTCTGTTTCCGTGAATTTGCCTGTTCAGAAGTGATGACATACAACACCTGTTGGGGCAAGCGTGGTGGTACATGCCTGTAATCACAGCACTCTGGGAGGCTGAGGCAGGAGGACTGTAAATATAAGCCTACTCTGTACATCTTAGCAATTTAGTGAGAGCCTGTCTCAAAATAAAAAATAAAAACAGGCTGAGGGTGTAGCTCTCTGCAAAGGCCCTGGCTTCAATCTTCAGTACCACAAAATAATAAATAAGTAATAATTTCAAAATATAAAAAGGACTAGGTATGAAGCTTAGTGCAAAGGCCTTTCAATCCTTAGTAACACACACACCTGTCTCCTGTCCTTTTGTGCTTGGCATAACATCGGATCCATCTATGCAGCAGCCTGTGTCAGAGCTCTATTCCTTCCTATGCCTGAATCAGTACAAGTATGTACACTGCAGGGTAGACTTTCTTTTCTCATTTCTTCAAGCCTCCAGCATTGTCCTTATGGAAGGAGGTACCTGCTGTCAGGTGCAGTGACTGTCTCTATTCCCCCACTGCCTGGGAGCGTGCTGTGACTCAGCAGACACAGTGATGGGCGCCTTACTGACAGGCAGGCAGGGAGCTGACCCAGGACAGGCGAGGAGGGCACAGGATGCCACAGCATTCACCACAGCCAGACACCAGCGAGGCCATCCAGGGTGCCCTTTCAGAAAAGCCCTGTGATTGGTATTTATGCTTGGGGTCCATCTCCCTCTGGGTCTTAACTTTTCACATGTGTTTGGTACATGATGTCTAAGTGGACAATGGAACTGGTCTGTCCCCTGCACTTGCTAGGGATGGGTGTGGGTCTGGTCTGCCCTGGCCCCTCTCCTCCTTCCCAATCCCTACCTGCTGCCGCAGATATTCCCAGTGGGGCATGGAGAGAGTGCAGGGAGGACACACACAACCATCAGTGCCCTGGGTTCATCCTGTAGCAGGGGACCCATTCGATGGGGGTGGATGGCAGGCAAGGGGGTGCTCTAGGCCAGAGGAGCAGAACATAACAAGGGCACTGAAAGAAAAAACTGCTGATTCCAGAACACAGAAAACAGCACCACCTGGGCCGGAGATTTAGTTTAGTGGCTCTGCTGCCTGCCTCACAAGCACAAGGTCCCAAGTTTGATTCCCGACACCAAAAAAGAAGAAAAAAAAAAGGAAATGCTCATACCTCACTACTCTTCATAGCACTTTTTCCCACTTTTAAACAAGGAGTCCATATATTTTATTTGGACTACAAATAATATAGCTGGTTCTACCAGTGGTTCATAAAGACTGCCAACATCAGAAATTTAGAGAGCCGGGGATTTAGCTCAGAGGTTCCACCGCCTGCCTTGCAAGTGCAAGGACGCGAGTTTGATCCCCGGTACCCCAAACAAAACAAAAAAAAAGAAATTTAGAGAGAGAGAATATGTGTGCATGTGTATAGTATACTAGGGGCTGAGCCAAGGGCCTTTGTACCAGGTTTTTCGGTTTTTTTGGTTTTTTTTTTTTGGTACTGGGGACTGAACTTAGGACCTTACACTTTGGTGGTCAAGGCACCAATAATCTAAATCCCTGACTCTAAATTTTTTTTACTTTGAGACAGGGTTTCACTAAGTTGCCCAGGCTGGGTTCAAACTTGCTATCCCCCTGCCTCAGTTTCCCAAAGTGCAACCACCACACCTGGCTTTTCATTTCTGAAAAAAATGTTCTGAATAACTTATACACTCAAAAGGCTCAAACAGTCCAGATGTGGTGGTGTACAAATTTAATCCCAGCCCTCAGGAAGCTGAGGCAGGAGGTTTGCAGCAAATTCAAAACCAGCCAGGGCTACATAGTGAATTCAAGCTCAATGTGGAATACAGAGTGAAATCCTGTCTCAAAACAACATAAAAAAGCTGGGCATGATGGCGCACATCGGTAATCCCAGCACTCAAGAGGCTGAGGCAGGAGGATCACTGTGAGTTCAAGACCAGCCTGGGCTATACATAGTGAGTTCCAGGTCAGTCTCAACTACATAGTGAGACCCTGTCTCAAAAAACAAAAAACAAAACAAAACAACCCTCCCCAAAAAAAGCATAATAAATAAGTAATAAAAAATGGAGAGACCTGTCTCGGAAGATACAACAGATAATAAGTACCTAAAACTCCAATATCACTAGTTATTAGGGAACTGCTAATCAAAACCACAGTGAAGGCTAGGCATAGTGATATACTCATGTAATCCCAGCACTCGGGAGACTGAAGTAAGAAGACTGCAAATTTGAGCCGAGACTGAAAAACTTTGCAAGATCCTGCCTCAAAAATAAAAACAGGGCAAGGGATTTAGCGCAGTGGCGCCACTGCCTCCTGCACAAGCACAAGGTCCTGAGTTTGATCCCCCCCCACATACTCCCCCCCACCGCACCAAAATCAATCAATCAATCAATCAATCAAAACAAAAACAAAGAAGGCCGGGGATTTGGCTCAGTGGTTCCATCTCCTGCCTCACAAATGCAAGGGCCCAAGTTCGATCGCTGGTAACAAAAAAATAAAATAAAATAAAAATAAAAACAAAGGTCTGGGGATGTGGCTGACTATAAAGATCCTGGGTTTGGGCCAGGGATTTAGCTCAGTGGTTCCACCGCCTGCCTCGCAAGTGCAAGGACCTGCGTTCGATCGCCGGTACCAAAAAAACAAAACAAAACAAAACAAAAAGATCCTGGTTTTGATCCCCAGTACTGCTTAAAACAGAGAGAAAGAGTGAGCTGGGCATGTGGGTGTAGGTCTATAATCCCAGCTTTTAGGGAGGCTAAGGCAGGAATGGATAGCCAATTCAAAATTAGCCTGGGCAACTTAGTGAGACCTGTCTCAATAAAATTTAAAAAGAGGACTGGGGATTTGCTCAGGGGTG